GAAACCACCCATACAGTCTTCTCTCGTCTTGCACTGTCGTCACTCCTCCTTTTATCCTTCTGGAGCTCCTCCGTGGGACTCGAGACAGGTGTGTCGCGCAGGTGATCACGGCTCTCTGCCCCGCCCCACTCGTCACAGACAGTATTACCCACTGATCTATAATAGAGAACATATTATATATATAGATATTATATATAGATCAGTGGTATTACCTCAGGTTGTGTCATTTATTCATGCAATAAATACTACGAGCCACTGTTCTTAATCAATGTCCTGTTTTGTTTGTGTATGTTTAGGAACAGTCAAGGATGCAGAAATGATGTGTTTCAGTGTAGATGCTGCAGGGTATTTCAGATGAAGGAATGACAGGTGAGAGGGAGGTTGGTTTGTGGAAGAACAGGTGGAGTCACTTACGCATTTAGCCTACATTACAAGTGCATCTCAATAAATTAGAATGTTGTGGAAAAGTTCATTTATTTCAGTAATTCAACTCAAATTGTGAAACTCGTGTATTAAATAAATTCAATGCACACAGACTGAAGTAGTTTAAGTCTTTGGTTCTTTTAATTGTGATGATTTTGGCTCACATTTAACAAAAACCCACCAATTCACTATCTCAGCAAATTAGAATACTTCATAAGACCAATAAAAAAAACATTTTTAGTGAATTGTTGGCCTTCTGGAAAGTATGTTCATTTACTGTACATGTACTCAATACTTGGTAGGGGCTCCTTTTGCTTTAATTACTGCCTCAATTCGGCGTGGCATGGAGGTGATCAGTTTGTGGCACTGCTGAGGTGGTATGGAAGCCCAGGTTTCTGCATTGAATTTATTTAATACACGAGTTCACTCACAATTTGAGTTGAATTACTGAAATAAATGAACTTTTCCACGACATTCTAATTTATTGAGATGCACCTGTAGTTTTGATCGAACACAGCCGGAGCATCACAGACACTGTGAGTGAATTCATCACTAAATAAGGTAAGCCAATGTAGGAAATTTCTTTGATATATCCTTCTATTCAAAAGTTTGTAGTCAGTACTTAATAATGAATATTACTTAATACTAACTATTACTTAAGAAATTACTACTTTTATTCAGCAGGGACACATTAAATTGATCAAAAGTGACAGTAAAGTCATTATGTTAGATTTCTATTTGAAATAAATGTTGTTCTTTTGTACTTTCTATTTATTATAGAATCCTGAAAAATAATTTGGCAGCAAAACATTTATTTATTTATTTATTTGGCAGCACAGCTGTTTTCAACGTTGATAATAATCAGAAATGTTTGCTGAGCAGCAAATCAGCATATTAGAATGATTTCTGAAGATCATGTGACACTGAAGACTGGAGGAATGATGCTGAAAATTCAGCCGCACATCACAGAAATAAATTACATTTCAACATATATTCGCATAGAAAACAGCTATTTTAAACTGAAATAATATTTCACAAAATCTGTGCTTACAATTGCAGATCAACCATGGCGAAAACATCAATTAAGATTAAAATAGCAGACATGAGTGATGAGATGCAGCGGAAGGTTCTACAATGTGCTCTTCTGGCTGTGAATATGTATGAAGATGGCTTGGACATTGCTACCTACATCAAGAAGGTTGATATTATAGTCATTTCTTTCTTCAGGAGCTTAGTGGTGCAGAATGAGTGTTTTGGTGAAGTGAGTTCAGTGGAACCTAATACTGTGTGTTTTTTACAGGAATTTGACAGAAGGCATCAGCCCAACTGGCATTGCATTGTGAGGAACTGCAGTAGCCATGTGACACACAATGACAGCTGTTATATCTCCTTTGATGTTGGCAATAAACATATTGTGCTTTTCAAGACGAACTGAGCCACAGCAACAGTTCAAACACATTTGGTTAAGGTGCCAAGAAATTCAGGGTCTGCTTGTTTTTTTTTTAGTTGTGTGACAATTTTTGTTTTTTTTTCCAAATTTTGTTGCATGGCTTTGGCTGTTTAAATAAACATGACTATAATTAGCTGTGGGCTTATTTAATTTTTTAGGTCAAAAACCTGACAAATCCCATGGTGACTGTACTCCTGCCTATTATGAGCAAAGACTTGATTTACACACTATAGCCCCATTAATTTCAAACCAATACGTTTATTACACAGTTATGTTTCTAAATATTGTAGAAACTTAATTTGCTGTAAAGTTGCTTTGCAACGATTTGTATCGTGAAAAGCGCTATACAAATAAATAAACTTGAATATTATGTTATACAATCATTATGAAATACACATTATATTCATATGAATATATTAGTCGATGTGGAAATAGATTTTTTTTCTTCACCGTTATTTCTAAGCCTTAAATGGCGCAAAACCATGGACTATAAAAACGTGGATGTAGTGTCCGTGACGTCACCCGTAGGTTTCTGAAGACCGTTTTTGAAGCTCAAAGTGGGCGGAGCGGGCCGTCGCCATCTTGGCAGTGCGTCACCACGCGTCACTCCCGGATAATCGAAAATGGGTAAAGAGGCGGGAGCTGGTTGCTGAAACCACGCCCACCTAGCTCGACGGCGGTGACAGCAGCGGCAATCCATCTGTCACTCAAGTGGCCACGCCCTTAATTATGCAAAATTTGAAGGCTTAATATCATTTAAACGGATGAGTTATAAAAAAAAAATCACCCCCTTCACAGTTGTCATGAAGGGCAAAATTAACTATATAGACCAAAACCACTTTTTGTACCTGGCTGTAAACAATTTTTTTTCTGCTGTAAAGTTGGGCATTTTAACATGGGGAGTCTATGGGACTGATTCCATTTTGGAGCCAGCCTCTAGCGGCCAGTTGATGAATTACAGTTTTAGTCACTTCCGTGTTGGTTTCACGAGACAGACCAGAAGGTTGCCCCTTAGCGCAAAATAGTGTAATCATAGATCACATCAGGTCATATGTAATGTATCTGCTTGTTTTACACTCTTTTGCCACCAGGTGGTAGTGTGAGCAAATGAAGCCTCGAGAAATGAACCCTTTTGTGAACCACTTGAATGAAAAGCTTCAATGCTTCATAAGGCTTCATCTCGCCATCACTACTAACCACCAGATGTCGCTGTTTTCGACACAATCTAAGCTTAGAATCTTTTCCCGAACAGTCAGAGGAAAGCAGCAGTGCTTCATGAGGCTTCGTTTGCACATCACTACTGAGAGCATGAGTAACAAAACAACCATACCATCAAATAACTATCAAAGCACAAGAGAAACACAAGGGCTATATAAGCTGTGTTGAACCATTGAACTAATGAGTTACCATGGAAACTAACAAGGAAATGGGTGTGGTCCAATGAGTGTCCATGGCAACAAACAAGGGAACAGAGCAGCAGGGAAACATGAGGTGAACAAAGCAACAATAATGAAGACATGGAACTAAACAGTCCATGTACACAGCCACAGGAACCACAAACAGGGAATGTGACAGTAGTACGCTGACAACCACCAAAAACAGGTGGTGAGTGGTGATAAACATGGTGAAATAAAGTTCATTAAAATTGACTTTTCCTACAAGCAGAGGATAAAAATCTAAAATCTAACATATAGTAAGCAGCACATGTAGTTAATTAATATACTCAATACCTAAATGTATAATTACACTGTAACAATGACACCTTAAAATAAAATGTAACCCAAAATAAATGTAACTGTAATCTGTTACAGTTACTTATGAAAATGTTAATGATTACAAAGAATGGGGAATGATTACATCTGAATATTTTCACAAATTGTTGGGACATTCCATAGGCGTAATGGTTTTTATACTGTACAAACTGTATGTGATATTGCCCAACACCAACCCTACACCTAACTACCCCTAATCACAGGAAACTTTGTGCATTTTTACTTTCTCAAAAAAAGTCATTCTGTATGATTTATAAGATTTATAAGTCATGGGGACCTCAAAAATGTCCCCACAAGGTCAAAATTTACTAGTATTACTATCCTTGTGGGGACATTTGGTCCCCATAACGTGATAAATACCAGGT